AATAATTTATAATCATTGTAAAACAATGACATATTGCAAAATTAAAATATTAACTTTTCAATATATGTTCAAGGAAAATATCAAAATATAAGTATGTATTTTCATACGATGTATAGTTTAATTAAAACGATATGAAATATATATATAAACTAAAATTATTTCTTCATATGGTTTTATAATCATTATATTTTAATATAGAAAAAAATTAAAACCTTGATCCTAAAAGTTTATGTGAGACTTTTAACAATTTTAGTAATTTATACTCATTTTGAAAAATTCGAAATACAACATACACACAAAAAAATCTAGATTTTTATTATATGATTAATGTAATTGTGTAATTTATTTTAAAAATAAATAAATAAACAAAATGAGAAAAAGTATACAGATTGTTATCAAATCTTTATTGTTTAAAATCATTAATTGTCATATATATTTTAATCATATTAGGTAATTCCGTAGGTTTTATTTAAGGAAAGTATGCGAAACAATAAATATTTGATATATGCGACCAACTATAACCTACGAAATATTATATTGCTAGAGAGTATAATTTTTAGACTATACATTATATCACATGCTCTAGAATCCGGGGTTTTTGCAAAACCAACCTAAAATTTCAAGTCAAACACAAAACCAACCTCTTTTTTTTTATCATTACTATTCACTCTTAAAAAACCTAAACTCTCCTCATGTTTCCACCTATTTACCAAAATGCCATTATTTTTAAATCTGATTTTATTTTCGAAAATTATAAAAAACCTATTACACCCTAAACATTTCTCCTTATTTACCATAATGCCATTGTCATCAATATTTGCAACCACCCAAAACCACCATTGATGAGCTCTTTNTTCGAAAATTATAAAAAACCTATTACACCCTAAACATTTCTCCTTATTTACCATAATGCCATTGTCATCAATATTTGCAACCACCCAAAACCACCATTGATGAGCTCTTTAAGCTTGTGTTTATGAAATTTCAACCACTTATTTCACTTTCTAAACAAACAATACTTCATTTCCTCTCATTTCCTCTCTATTTTCATCTTATCATATACAATATATAAGATTGATTATTTTGATTTATTTACCCTAATTGCGAATAAAAAAAGTGATAGTTAAAATTATATGCATACGTCAATTTATTATATAATAGTAACTGATTTATTAGTTATTTAATATATATATTTATTATTTTATTATTTGCAGAAAATATAAAATAAAGAATAAATATAAAATACTTATTGTGTATAAAGTGCATATCTTAACCTAAGTATATATCTCTTTAATTATTTTAAATCTTAAGTATTTTCTAAATACCAGGTCAAAACAAATAAACGAAATGAGAATAAAATTCAAAATAAATATTTATATCGAGTAATAACCAAAATATTAAAAAAACACAACAAGAGAAAAAATTGAAGATAAATAGGATTGACATGTGAACGTAAACTTCTCATAACCATAATTAATTTTTAAATTGTTAAATTATGATATAAAACTGAGTTAATTTTTAATTTGTTAATTTTTTAAATCATTATAGTTATGTTAAATCATGACCATAATTAATTTTAAATTGTTTATTTGTATTTGAAAACCTTAAAATAGTGTTTTTAAAAATAATTTAAAATTTTACTTAATTTTTTAAAAATTTAATTAAAATTGTTTTTTTAAATATAGTTTTCTAATATTATTAGAGAAATAAATAAATTATATTAAATTCGTTTTGAAACTTTATATAGTTTAGGTGCAAGTATTTTACCAACTGCTTCTTACAAAAACATTAGGTTACTTGCTAATACTCTACCAATGGAGTCCAAGGACACTCCGTTTATTTTTCGTCAATCGAGCACTGAAAAGTGAAAAAATATATGAAAACAGGTCCATTAAATTCTAAAATTTGATCTACATTTCTAATTACAATTGTTTCTGATCCTACGTATAGATAATTATATAAAAATTCTAAAATTTTAAAATTTCAAATACATATAAAACAATCATATGTAAATTTTAAATTTGGCAATACTAAAATTTTATATTTTAATTACATATATTCGACCTGCGCAATACTAAAATTTTGCAGATCTCGTCCTCATCGTCCTAGTAAACCATTAAACGAACTTAAACCAAATAAAAAAAAACCTAAACTACGATGCTTCTTCTTCTTCCTCCGGACTCATTAACGGCGGCTTAATAGGTGGACTTGCTACACCGTACTCTATCGTCATGCTCTCCGCCAGATCTCGTCCTCATCTGCCGTCTTCCTCCACCATCGATGCTTCAGCCATGCCCTCAGCCATGTTCTCCTTCATCTTCTATCTCTGTCAATTGACAACAGCTTCCAAATCAATATATTAAAACAGAAACGAAACTAAATCTGAGTGAGGGACATTCATTTGGAGTGACCCTATCTCAGATTCTTCTTGGAGACCTTACTGAGTGCAGAGAGAAAATGAATTTGTGAGTAGAAATAGACATTTCATAAAGCCGTAGACTTTTGGGTTCTTCTTTGCCGAAGCTTGGATCTGCTCGCGCCGCCGTCATTGTCTTCCAGATCCGCCATTGATGTACATCTATGGTGTTCCCGTACTCGTGCTGTTCGATCACGACCTCCGCCTCTTCCTCTTACTTCATTATCTCACCACAACAATCTTCTCCTTTTACACACCAATCCTCGCCATTTACAAACTTCGAAGAAGGAGATGTTGTTGGCTTGAGAAGAAGAAAGAGAGAGAGAAAAAGGATTGAAAAAAAAAAAGTGTAAAAGATTGTCCAATAAGAAAGAAGGAGGTGGATAGATAGAAGTGTGACTTTGGACCCTTGATCAAATTCAATCTATGGCTCAAAAAGAACAATACAATTTGTGTTTTCATTTCTCTATAGTTATTCTAAAAATTATCTAACTTTAAATAATTTAATAACATAATTTAAAATATAAATTTTATATTCCAATTCTGTCCTTGTGTGATTTAAAAAAAAAAACAGAATTGATTAAAATTTGAGTTTTAATGTTTTTTGAAATATGTGATTAAAGGTTTAGGGTTAAAATTTGGAATCAAGTATATGATTTGATATTAAGTTTTGAGAAGATCAATTTTATAGCTTATATCTTAAATTTGGAGTTTTAGTTTTAAAATATTATAATTGAGATTTGTATGTAGAGAAATAATCTCAAATGCTCTTATTGAGCCAAACTCTATGCACACATGACATAGAGTTTAAAGATTGTAGTTTAGGGTTTATATTAAGATTTACAATGGAGTTTAAAGATTTGAGATTAAATCTATAAAAATGATTAAATTTTGTGTTTATATTTAATATAGAAGTTATATTATGAAAATATTGTAGTTTGAAGGTTTATGTTTAGGGTTTAGAGTTTAGAAACATGTTTAGTATATTTAACTAGGGTTTGAGTTTTAGATTTTTATATTGAAACTAAATTTCTAACTATTAAAATTAGAATAAAACTTAAAATCTGAGATTAAAATTAGAAAATATTTGAGTTTTAGGGGTTGTGTTTAGGGTTTAGAGTTTTAAATTTTGGAGGCAAGTGAAATGGAGTGAGAGGAAAGTGAAATGAAGATGAGAGGGAAAATTTTCCACCTTAGTTATGCATAGCGTTTCACAACTGGCAGTGCTATATATACTTGGTTTCTAAAAAACGTATGCAGAATAAAAATCGGACCAACCAAACATAGCGTTTGCATTTTCACAAACGCTATCTAAAACTAAGAGGTAGGTTAACCATAGCTTAATCGAAAAAATGCTATCTTACTTTGCTATTAATACTCAATTTTCTTGTAGTGTCTAAATCCTAATCCCAAATTCTAGACTCTAAATCGCAACCTTAAACTCTAAAAGAACACCATCAACATTAACCCAAATATTTAGGGTATAAGATTTGGATTTAAGATTTACAGTTTGGATTTAGGGTCTAGGGTTTGAGTTTAGGATATATGGTTTCGGTTTAAGATCTAGGATTTGAGTTTAGGGTATAATGTTTGAATTTATGGTCTAGGGTTTGGGTTTAGGATATAGGGTATGGGTTTTAGGGTGTACGGTTTGGATTTCTAGAGTTTGGATTTAGGATATAAGGTCTAGAGTTTAGGTTTAGGATACATGGTTTGGGATTAGTATGTTCGATTTCGGTTTATGATCTAGAGTTTGAGTTTAGGGTTTAGTTGGTAGTATTAGCATCGTTAAAATTAATATTTTTTTAGTTATTTTGATTTTTGAAAATTATATTTACAAAATTTATTGATTAATTTACGTGAGATTTTATGTTTTATTAGAGGTTAGGTGAATTTAAAGGTTTATCCTAGAGGATGAACATAACTTTTGTTCTTTCCGAACAAGTTCTTAATTAAGTTGAGATTTATACATTTCAACAACCTTTATAACCTTTATAGTTTTTGAGAGCATTCTTATGGAGTTTTGACATTTCAAATCTATGTGTGAATACATAAATATCTATATTTAATTATAAGTTATTATGAAAAATATTAAAAAAAAAAGATTTAGTGTGGATTTACATGATTTTTAGGTACCTGAAACAATAATATAGCTTTTCTTTTAATTCTGGGGAGGTTTGGGACGAAGCCCTAATTTCTCTAGTCTCGAAACTTCATCATGTAATATATAGTATTTTTGTTATATTACATTTTAAGATCTTTATGAAATAATTTCAATTAAAATGTTATGAGGTATTTGTGCTTTAAACTGGTACTATGCGCAAGTCACATATGAAAAACTTACAGCCCCTGAAACTTTTTTGGTTAATATATTGTTGTTGTTTTAAGTAATTATTTTAAGACTGCGTTGTAGTTTTCTTCACATTGGAAATGTTTGATAGTGCAACCTGAAAAAGCTACATAATAATGTAGAGATTCAGCCTTGCCAATTAATAGGATCCTAATTTTATTTTACTTCTCGTTATTTCTCTTAAATTGGCATCTTTCCTCATTTATTTTCCCACTTTAAAAATATTTGCATCAGATATGGTTCAAAAGTGTTCCGGACAAGTCTTTTTGGGGCCAAAGTTATAATCTCAACTGACCATGAAGTGAATATGGCGATGGCAAAGTCAAGTACACAGTTAGGCGCCACCGAGAGCTTAAGGAGGCTCTTTGGAGAGAACAGCGACTTCCTCCAGAGGAAGGAGATTCATAAATATGTCCGAAACCTTACTTCTAGATTTGTGGGTCCAGAAAACTTAAAAACCAGGTTGATTCAAGACATAGATGTTTTATCTCGCAACTACTTCGAGATGGATGACAAAGCAATAAGCAGTTCTTTTGACATTAAAGAAGCAGCAACCAAGGTTACTTAGTGGTTATATATGTTCAAATATTAAACTTTAATTTAAAATCATTGATCAAATTGTTTAAGGTCACATATACAATAACTACTAATATGTGTTTATATCACAGTTTCTTTTTTTGCTAAACGTTTATATCACATTTTATTGATTCTAAATTATCTAAGTTTCTCATGACGATATAACTTGAAGATGGTGGTTGACCTTATCGTGAAGAAAGTGATTGGTGAAATGGAATCTGAGGCGGTGAAAGAACTAGGACTTTGTTGGACTGCTTTCCGAACAAATTGGTTTAGTTTCTCTTACAATGTTCCCGGAACGACGGTTTATCGCTTCGTGAAGGTGAACATGGCTTCATCTTCTTCTTCTTTTTTAACGCAAAACATGAGAAACAAAACATGACTATATACAATATTATTTCATATAAATGCATGAGAAAAAGCAATTGACGTGCTCTTAGGATATTTCATCTCATCTTCCTTTCCGTGAATATTTTTAGTAATTTCATATAATTACATGTAAATATGATATTGAATAGGCTCGGAGGAAAGTGACAAAGCTACTAAAGGGCCTGATTCAGGAGAAGAATACGTCTAAAGAAGGACTAGGCGATTTCCTGGAAATTTTATTTGATGAAATGAAGAAAGATAGTGCGGCTTTGGATATAGATAAAGCCGTAAATTTAATATTCACATTTTTCATACTCTCTCAAGAAACGACTCCCGGAATTTTAGCAGCAACTGTGAAGCTCGTTGCTGACCATCCTAATGTCATGGAAGAATTAAAGGTCTTTTATTTACTACTTATAAATATTTCTTCCCTTTCTCGAAAAAAAGAAAAGAACTTATAAAAATTTCTTCGTTGATTTCATGCACGTTATATGCATGTTTTTTGTTTTTGTTTTTTTTTTTTTGTAAAAAACGTAATATGCTTGTTGACCACCCGAACCTTGCAGAGAGAGCACGAGGCCGTTGTTGAAAACCGTGGTGATAATCAGACAGGCCTAACATGGGAGGAATACAAGTCTATGACTTTCACTCACATGGTGAGTGTAACAGCGTAACAGGTCACAGACATTGATTGCATAATACATACAAACGTTGCTAGCAAGTAAAGAAATGGACTACTGCGTAATTTCAGGTTATCAAAGAGACGCTTCGGTTTACTAGTGCACAACCTACGGTACATAGAATACCCACTGAGGACACTCAAGTTGGAGGTTGGTCAATCATTATATGTTGCTTAATAATTTGCTACTCATCACATCTAACGGGAACCGTGTGTACGTACTTGTACCCATATAAGCATAAACATGAACACATTTTATGTTTCTTTCTAGTCAAGAGTTTCGGTTTGTTCGCTTTAAGAAATTATTCAGGACTTTATATTTTTTTTATTCTTTTCTTAGATTACTCTGATTTCTATAGGTTTATCGGCTTGGTTAATGGTTATAAGTTTATACGATTAAGTTCTATCTTCGGGTGAATTTGCTTTTCAAATTCTATTCGTTCTTTTTTTTTAAGTGACTAGGAGGAGGTTTGGGGCCTCTAAAATAAGCCTCTAGATCGTAAATTCTCTAGATCGATGTTTATATCATATAAATAACTTCCCTTTACAGAACATGCCTCTCCTAATGAGAAGTTATTTTGTTCGTTTTATCAATTATCAAAGAAGTGCTTTTGGTTTGCTTTGGTGCTTGATTGTTAACTCTAACACGTACAAAGTTGTCTCACGAATTAGTGAACACCGAATTGCGCAGGTTATACTGTACCAGCTGGGTGGTTATTTTTTGGTATTCCTTTAGTTCATTTCGATGAAGTAAAGTATGAGGATCCACTCAAATTTAATCCATGGAGATGGAAGGTAAAGGCCATACACACATGGCATAACACATGGTTTAAAGTATAAAATTTGTTTTGGTGGCAAATTGGCTGCAGGGGAAAGATTTACACGGTACATTGTCCAAGGATTACATTCCGTTTGGAGCTGGTGCCACGCTTTGCGTAGGGTCTGAGTTTGCGAAGTGTATAATCGCAGTGTTTCTCCATCATTTGTCTAGATTCAGGTTATCTACTATATTAGTTGCTATACTTCTCACAGGATTTTTTTATAACTGGTTTTCTAAAATATAATTTTTGGTTCAGGTGGTCCTTGGACCCGAAAACGAGAGTGCTTCGAAGGTATATGCTTATGTTTCCGGCTGGTTGCAAAGTCGAGATTGCAAAGGAACTAAGTGATCAGAGTTGATTTTCTTCTCATATCTGTTTCAAGAAGCAGGATGCCATATAAAGTTGATGCTTCCTATATAATAATTTGGCATTGTTTGTATGATTATTTAAAGTTCGGTTTACTTATGAACCTCCAACAGTTATTGTCAAAAGATTCGGCCACAACGTTGTAGGGAAATTGACCACAACGTAGTTTAATAAGGTGAAATAGATATCATCAATTTTTGTTACGAATTTTGTCGTGGGCTTTGGTTTGGTTAAAAATTGCAAATGATTTGGGACTAGACCCAGTCATAATATAGTGACAAATTGGACAAATTTGATTCTTTTACTTAAGGTATTAATTAAAAGTGGGAAGAAATATGTAATACAAACTTAACTAGGTGAATCCGCGCCTGCACGCGAAGTGAATGAATTTAAAAAGTATTATCAAATCATTTATATATATTAGAAATTCAAAAATCACAAATATGTTATGTAATGATATATCTTACTATAATGTGCATGTTTATATAATGTAAAATTATTTGTTTTTTTATTAACGAAAAAGTTTCTGTAATTGGATGTTTGTATTAATGTTTATTACAGTAAAAATAATATAAGATTAAGCAAAAACTTATTGAAATTTATTATGATTTTTTTTAAAAAAAATCATAGGTAATAAAATTATTTAATTCATCATAGAGTTATGATGATAATGATTAAAGCAATATAGATAATAGAAAAATAAATTAAAACACCAAATCATCGCAAATAAAATTATCTTCAAAACTCCTTGTTAATCGATGCATGGATTTTATCTCCTTGCTGAAATACGTGGATATCAGTTACATATAATAAAATACATAGAAAATATGTATTGACAATATTCTGATAATACGAAAGTACCTTTACATCTACGAAAACCATTTCTATGGTCTCTCCAACAGCAGCAGAGTACTGCTTCCAAAGTCATATCATTTCCACTCTTATCATTCACATTGACTTCTTAGGCTTTAGATCAGCGATGAAATTGATACCACTCATTTTTTATGATGCTCTTGAAAAGTTTAGGTTGTGATGGTGCTCTCAGATTAGTTTAAGGAGATATATATAGTTCATAAATGTTGAAATAAAAGTTAATTTCGTATCATAATTATGGCCTAAAATCAAGTCAAACAAAATCACTAGTTGAAATCTCACCCAACTAATAATTGGAAAGAAACATTACTTGAGATTATGAAATGTAATATTGTTATATAAGTTTTATAACATTATGTTTAGAATATTCTTTATATAAATTTGAATATCAATCTCAATTATAACCTAGCTGTAGTGATACATTGCATCTATATTATTAAAACTGAAGTACCTTTTGATATTGTTTGAAAATAAGGCTAGCATGATAAATGATAATTGTTTGGAAACATGGATAGTAGATTAAATACTTTCTTTTATTTGCACATTAAATCATTGCATTTATAATAAGTTAAATACTTTCTTTTTATAATTTTTATTTACAGATTCTACTCTTGCATTTAAAATCAATTTAAATTAATTAATTACAATGATTAATAACACAAACTGAAATATATCATATATATTATATAAAATAACATTTAATATAATATTACTTTATTTAATTTAGTCAAATATAAAATTTCAAGAGTTCAATTTGCAAGAAAACAAAACATCATCAAATTAATGATAATTCATAGAAAACTAATGCAAAAAATAACTTTTAGTATGTTATTTCATTTTAAAATAAATTAACAAAAAATAACATGTTAATATATGAATAGTACAATTACATCAAATTGTGTCAAGTTATAAAGTTTCTAATATAATATTATGTACAAATAAAAAAATTACTATTATTTATATTATAAAATATTATATTTTTACTCTATATGTAAATTTCAAAACATAAAAGTATATATATAATTTTTTATAAGACCATCGGTTTATGGGTTTACGTTGAACACACGTTAAATCAAACATTCGCACGGGAGTGCGAATCAAGTTCTAGTTATAATTATGGCCTCAAATCAAACCAAACAAAATCCCTAATTAAAATCAAGGAAAAATAATTTGAAAGAAACATATTTTATGATATTATATTTGAGATTATGTCAACAATATTATTATATAAATTTGATCACATTTATGTTTAAAATATTATTTATATAAATTTGAATGTTCTTAATTATGGCCTAAAATCAAGCCAAACCAAATTTCCAATTGCAAGCAAGGAAACATAATTAGAAAGAAATATATTTTCTGATATTAAACTTAAGATTAGTGAAAGACCGTTATATCAATTTGATAAAATTTATGTTTAGAATATGCATAAAATACTCCGACGTTCGTTCTAAATTCCAGAGACTTGAACCTTTATTTTTAAAATTCATTCAATGAGTATTACCAAGATCCCTCTTTGTTTTTGAACAATGTTCAAATCCATGTAATATGTATATATTATTTTTTGGAAGGTTGAGTAGTACAAATAAATGTTTTTATTGATTTTTAAACTTATATTTCTTATCATTTAAGTTCATTGTCTTTCATATATAAATTTGAATATCAATCTAGGTGATAACCCGATTGAAACAAATGTTTAGAATCCCTAATTTGATTGTGGTTCCTACAATATTAATTGGCAAAAATTAATCAAAAGAGGAAACAAATGTAATTGTAGCTTTTTAGAATATAATCCTTTTGAGTGCATAAATTAGTGACATAATTTATGCTTATTACCATTTATAGCAAGCTTAACCATTAATATAAACACATGATTATGAATTTTACTGAACATCTAGAAAAAATCAATTATAGCCACGAATTAGATGTTAAAGTTCCGTATAAATAAATAACATATATATATATATAACATGAACATAAAAATAAAATAATATATAGTTTGTTATATACATCTTAAAATTATAGACACATGTGTGTGTGTGTCTATATATATAACATGAACATAAAAATAACATTTATTTATATTTATTCAAATCTCATTAACATTTTTACACTAAAAACAAATTACTTATATACTATGTAACATTTTGATATAAACTTATGTATTTATATGTATAGGTTTTATAACATAAACATAAAAATAACATATAGTTTGATATACACTTATTTATATGTCAATAACATTTGAACTCAAAAAACAATTACATATATACTTTTATTGTATAGTGTACTTTCGAATTGAAACATGCATATAAAATGAAACATATAGTATAATAACTTTGTAGGTTGACATGTAATTAGTCTAAACAAGAAAAAATGTGAGGTGCATTGTGGTGTTGACACCTAAGAAATAATAAATTTGTTAATAATACATGAAAATGAGGTGTTTTTTAAAAGGTGCTTCTCAAATAATAAAAAAGGGATAGAAGCACAAGAAGAATCATTCCGGTGAAACTGATATCCAGCAGTCAAGTTAAAATTGGCGGGGACGTAGACATCCAGGATTGAAGTAAAGCATAAGCTTGAGTTGAATTTTTTTTTTTTCTTAAGCTAGAGCAACAATTTTGATTAAACATTTATTTTTGAAAACTTTTTTTTTTTGGAACTCTTATTTTTGAAAACTTAACTATTATGAACTTTAGTACTAAACCCTAAATCTTATCCCCTAAACCCCAAATCCCAAACTCCAAACCCCAAACCCCAAACCCCTATTCCCAAAACCCAAACTATATTCCCAAAATTCCAAACCTTAAATTGATCATAAACTTAACATGTAAACTTAATTTGTTTTAATTATTGAATTGAAATCATACATCCAAAATATAATAATTGTTTCTATATACAAATATTAAAATCATTGCTTTTTCGTCAATAAGATCATACATATATATATTTCCAAAGAGGAATAAAAGTAAATAAGAAAGGTGAATTGCTGTTGGCCAATGAAATAAGAAGGCAATGATTGCTCAGCTTTGAATCTAAACCGTTGATAGAAGTTGATTAACAAATACAGTTTCTTTGCTTTTTAATATTTTATTTTTCTTTATCTCTTCTCTCATCGTATCTCTCCAGATCTGTCAATCTCCTCATCTCTTCTTTCTCCTTTGCAAACTCATCTCCTCTTTCTTCTACGCTAGTGTAACGCGAATTCACCACCACACTCTTTTTTACACACAACCACCACCACCATCGCTCGTCACCACCACCGTCTCTGCCTAAAATAACACATCTTTTTCTTCTCTGTGAAAAGGCTTTGAATTGCATTTCCAGGGATAGAAAATTGTTTATCAAAGGATTTGGCCATGGCTTTAAATGACTCGGAAGCCCCACATAATTATACATTAACCCTTATCTCTGTTTTTGAGAAGCAAATCTCGATGCTTTTTGGTGTATGTGTTGAAACTTCTTATTATGCTAAATGATGGTTGCTTTCTTATATTCCTTCATACTAGTTAACATGTTTGGGTTTCTGCAGGTTATGAAGAAGATGTGGTGTGGAGATGGCAGATGAAGCTAGCGGTGGTGATGGAGCCGAGCAAGAATAAAAAGGGAAATGTGGTTGTGAGCAATCATGATAGATGAGAAGCTTGATGGTGGTGGAATAGCAGAGACAATCGGTAGGCTTGACGGTGGCTGTTCAAAGACAATGAGGTAGAAGAAAAAGAAATCAGTTGACGACAGAGAGTTTAAACGTAGCTTTTTTTTTTTTTAGGTTAGGCTGTTTTATGTTTAGATTAGTAAAACGGGTCAAGTTTACTTAATTTTTTTCATGTTGTTTTAGTTTTGTAAAAATGATTATGTTTATGTACTGATTTTATTAATAAATAAAATATCAATTTTAATTATAAATTAATATTCAATTTAAGTTTTAGCTATTTCAATTATAAGTAATTAATTGAATTTAATTTATTAATTTGATTAATTAATTTTAGTTGTCTTATTTTTAATTTATAGCATTATATTTTTGTCATTATAAAATATTTTATAGCACTAAGAAAACTATAAAAAGTACATAATTGCAAAAATGAGGTGCTATTAAAACTTATTAATATAGCTGAG